CTTATTGGCGGCTACTCTAAAAAGATCTTTATATTATCCACTTTTAGTGTCCAGCTTTTCATTTCATACAACAAAGTCAAAAACACGTAGCGTCTTAAGGCTCTTTCCTTAGCTCCAGAGAAAAGTGGCGATTAACAAACATTGTTTTTATTTTTATAAATGCTTGTCTTGAAATTTCAATGCGTGTCCTTATTTCTCTACCTTGGTTATCATCATCATGATCATTTTGGTGCTACAGCCCTTAGAGAGCCTCGACTTTCTTAAGCTTTCTACGCCATTCTGTTTTGTTCCTTGCTTGCATTTTCCAGTTGCCGACTTAGATCTTCTCGGCATCTTGTGTTACAAGATTTTTTTTCATTTCATTCATTTCCGTTAAAACCGGGAGCTATTCTCTCTCCTGTTGCCAACCATTATGTAGCTTTGCATATTTTACATAATTTTAAACTGCTTGTCCTTGTATAGTGTAGTATTATGTATAATTTTATGTTTATGACATTCTGTGATTGTTGGATATGTTAAAATTGACGAAATGCCCCTGAAGATGTTCTACCTTTCATTTGATTAAAGTTCATTTATTCGAACATTCAACCTTATATCAGTATATACTTTTTGAACAGATCTAAAAGTATATGCAGTGTTTCTTCGTCAATGCATTTAATTAGCTTAGTGGGTATCTGATTTTGCGGTCTTTGTATTTCTAATTGCTTGTTCTAATTCGCACATTATTATTTTCGATCCTGTTTGTTGCTGTAGTTCTTCTTATATCATCCTCGAATAGTTTCAATATGTATTCTTGCCAAAATTTTAATGTATCTTTGATGTCTGCAATGAGTTTTCTATTATCATCTTTGAGTATCCCATAGTGTGTTCGCTTTTTTACATTTGTTACATCTTTTATTTTTTTTATAAATATTAAAGCTGTCGTATTTTCTGTCATACTCTTCTATTTTTATGAATTGATCTGTTAACCACTTTTCTTTGGCCTTTTATGTCTTTATTTTAATTCTACTTTGTAGTTCTTGATATTTTGGCTCATTTCTCCCTTTGGCTTTTCTCCCCTTTTCCATTAATGCTAAAATTTCTGAAGTTATTCACTTCTGTTGTTATTTGACTTTTCAGGCTTAAAATTTTCTTCTGCACCCTTTAGTAATGCTTTCTGAATATGGCTCCACTTTTAATTGATATATGATATATTTCACTAATATTAAGATTTCTCTCCTACTTCTGTTAGATTTACGTTGACTTGTTGGATCACTTTTTTATGTATTTCTCTTTTTCTAAATCAAATGTTGGTTCATTTTTAGGTACTACAATATTTTTGAGTTTCACGTGCATTCTAGCTATCAGCGGGTTATGGTCTGAGTTGACATCTGCTCCGAAGTATGCTGTTACTGTTTTAATTGAGTTTTTGTATCTATTTTTGACTAATATATAGTCTAAGGTAGTGTCGCCAATTAAGACCAGTGTCTTAACTAGGCCAATAGCAAATATTTTCTTAAATATAGATATTATATATTAGAGGTCACCGTAAATCGTTTTCTCAGTCAAAATCGTCCACGCTATTCAGTCGGTAGTATCACATAGCAGAGTCAAGTAGACTAGACACTTGTTTGTTACGGTGCCGAGGTTCGTTTATAAATTTGAGGTAAGTTATAAAATTACTAAAATGGTACTTAATGAATATATGCCAATTATTTTTTCTTTGTAAAGCGATAGTAAATTAATACTTTTTAAGGAACTGGAACTGTTTTTTCTATATTGCTTTTGCTATATTGCTATATTGCTATATTGCTTTCTATTATTTTTTATTAAGTTAAATAAAAAAAGTAGACAGTGTCCTAATAAAGCCAATTGACTGGCCTTATTAGGAGTGGACTGGCCTTATTAAGAGCTGGTGGACTTTACATATATTTCTGTACAAAGTAACTTAAAATATTTTTTCTTTGCAGATATGTCCACCAGGAAAAGAGCACAGTGGACCGAAGAGGCCATTGAAGCTGCAATTAATGCCGTACGAGATGGCATGGCTGTTTATAAGGCAGCACTTACATTTAATATTCCTCGGCGTACGTTACGTAACCATCTAGCTAGTGATAGTTCACAAAAACGACTTGGTCGGTGTCCAGTACTTACAAAACTCCAGGAAGAAGAATTGGTTAGACGTATAGGAAGATTGTGTGACGTTGATATGCCATTAACCCCCAAAATATTACGAAAACATGTGTATGCTTTTGTAAAAGAGGCAGGAATAAGGTATTCATTCTCAGTTAAAAAGGAGATAGCTGGAAAAAAATGGATGAAATTGTTTTTCTCAAGGCATCCTGACATTGCAAAGAGTCGGGCTCAAAAACTCAATTTGGCCAGAGCACAAAAATTGAATCGTGTAGTTATCAGTGACTATTTCGAGAAACTTCGACAGATTTTATATAAGAAGGACTTCGCAGGAAAACCTGCTCAAATTTACAACATAGACGAAAAAGGATGCCAGCTTACGCTGCATCACCAACAAACTGTGTTGGCTAGTAGAGGTGCTAAAAGGGTTCATATTGTTGCACCAGATCACTGCGAAAATGTAACAATCGTGGTATGTGGCAACGGTATAGGCAACAGCATTCCTCCACTTATCATTATGAAAGGGAAACGAGTTAAGCAGGAATGGTATTATAATCTTCCAGCAGAAACAAAAATTATAATGACCAAGAAAGGAAGCATGACAACAGATGCATTTATAGAGTGGTTAGATCACTTCTGCAGATTCAAAAATCCTAGACCAGCCCTTTTAATTTTTGATGGAGCTTCATCCCACTTAGACATTAGAATTGTAGAAGCTGCAATGAAAAAAAATGTAACTCTGTTTTGTCTACCGTCCAACACCACCCACGAGCTTCAACCATTCCATAAAGCAGTTTTCAGAAGTTTTAAGTCGTACTGAAGAACCATCGTCGTAAAAATGAAAAAAACCATCAACCGAGCAAGATTTGGGCAAATCTTTACGCCGGCTTGGAGAAAGTCAACGACACAAAAATATATTTGTTCTGGATTTGAAGCAACTGTCTAACACACCGGGAGATTGAACCAATGGCCGAAGATGCTCAAGAAAGTCCTATAACCGGACCAGAAATTGTACCGACTCCCCAAACCAATACACATTTCGAAGAACAGCCATCCTGCAGCAATGGCAGTGGTGTAAACCAAAAATCTAAAAGCAAGGCATTGTCGAATAGTGAAAAAAGGAAAATTAAAAAAAACAGAACTGTATAAAGTTTTTCAAACTCAGATGAACATCTCAGATGAAGACAGCGACTCATCTGGGTCTTATATAAGCGATACAGCTTCCAGCGAGGATTATGAGAAAAGTGATGTAGTTTACACAGATAATCATGACAATAATATGGTGGTAAAACTAAGTTAAACAGAGCCATGTGAAGAGCTGAATGCAAGTTTTAGTTCCAGTGGTTTGCTGACTAAACCGGAGTTGAAAGTATCAACAAAAAAGCGTCGACAAGCCATTAATGCGAAAGCACAAGAAGTTACCAGGGATCTATTTAAAGGATAATCTCATAGCTCAGCCAAACCTAAACCTAATTTAAAAAGGATCCAAAACCAAATTTAAAAAAAGACTCATGGTACTGCTTCTTGTGTGATGAGGATAGAGTGGCTGACATGCGCAAGTGTGTTCGGTGTAATAAGTACATCTACGAGGAATGTATAGGGTTAACAAAAAAAAGGTAAGGACATGTTTGAATAAATGTGCGATATGTGTGCTTAATGTATTGACAATTTTTTTTTAATATGAATTAAAGTTTCTTTCACTAAATTTTGTATTTGTTCTTTAATTCTTAGGTTTAAAATTTATTATCCACCTCAATTTGTGTGAAACATGAAACTAGCCTTATTAAGATACCAATTGCTAATAAGGCCAAATATTCCAGATTTCTTCAATATTAAAATTTTATATTTCTTTATTTATTTAGTAACTATTTTATCCTGAAATTTGATAGCTAAAATGTTAGGCAATACGTATACAAGAGTTTTCCCCATATTGTTCCTGAATAAAATATTACAGATATTTAAACCTTAAGGTGGCCTTAATTGGCGACTATACCTTATTTGATTTCTGACTATGCGGTCTTTGTTGTCTGCAGAAGATCACCAAGTGTATAATCTTCTGTCAGGTAGTTTGAACAATATGTTCATTATTGCAAAATGTTTATTTTGACAATCCAAAAAGTCTATCCCTTCTTTTCATTCACTTTAAATTTCTTATCACTTTAAATATGGGCAGATATAAACCACGTAAAATAATGATTTTTTAAGTATAATATTAACTTAATATTTATTAAAGAAGATATTATTATGCCTATGCTTAAGATCGATCAATTTTTCAAGCAAGTTGAGAAGGTCTAATGAGATTACTATTTTTACTTATCACGAAAGTATCATACACTGACTAGCTGTTTAATATTATAATCCATTATTATTATCCATAAATTAACAAAATATATCAAACGTTTTTCCATTTAATATCTAAACTTAATTCTTTTAAACTTTGAAAAATTAAATCACAAATTTAATAATCAAATCTTGCCCAAGTACTTTCGCTGTCTACAGCATCATCAGGGGCATTTCGTCAAATTTGGGCTATCGAGCAAGGGCAGAATATAATAAACATGAAATTGAACGTAAATTGTATATAACACTACACTAAAACAAGGACAAGCAATTTAAAATTATTAAAAATTCTTTAAGAATGTAGAGCGTAGAATAATTTTTAATAATTTTAAACTGGTTGTCCAATCTCATGTTTATTACATTCTGCGCTTGCTGGATAGCCCAAATTTGTGCTTGGGCAAGATTTGATTATTAAATTTGTGCTCGATATTTGCCTTAATTTATCAAAGTCCATTTATTCGATCTTTCAACCTTATATCAAATATTTAATTCTTTTAGTTCCAGATAGTCCGTCTTCATTATCGAACGTAAAATGGAAACGCGTCGGGATGGTATCTGGCCGAGCGGTACGGTTGGACACCATCATCTGGCCTGGAGGAGATCTATCAGTAGCTGCAGTATCATCGCGAGCGAGAACCGTTTTTAGGGTCGTAACGGCACTTGCACCGCCGTTCGTTATGGAAAGTGAATTAGATGAAGATGGACAATGTCTCAGAGGTAAGTGGTGGGGGTTTCATAGTTAAGGTAGCTTACTTCGCCTTCCTTAGTTTTCAATATTGAACTTGAAGTTCGTCCTTCTTGTCACACGCTTATATTTAAGTATGTGGCAAGACTACTGTCATTATTTAGAATTAGAGATTGCCTTTGGATAAAGTTGTTATTATTATTTTTATTGCGTTTAGGCTGCTATTTAGGCTGCTATTCATCTGTTATGTGTGTTTACCATTAGTTACCAACTAGTTCTTTCATTTCGATTCTTATCGATACGATCGTATTATAATACTGTATATTATCAGTATTGGATAGGATAGTATTGATTATAACACAATATTGATCGTATTATAATCAATACGATCTTAACAATCGACGGAAATGCTATAGAGTATTACTCTAAATACTTGAGCATCACGATCAACGAAAAATTTACAAGACAATGAAGGTCTATTCCAAATACTAGAAGTTGATTATGTTGCTCATTTTTAAAATAAGGTCAATCTTGAAAATATTTTGGATATCAAATGTATTAAAAATATATTAAAATAATATATTTAGTTATTTTGAACGATAACATTGTAAATTATTGTTTTAAGTGTATAACAACGAAAATATAATGTTAGCTAACCAAATGATAATCTTACCATATTATGCACAAAGGCTCTTTAGAATTCAATCATGGTAATTGTCTTTGCTACTGTATACGCTTCTCCAGTTTTCACTTTACTAACGCAACCATACTTGTAGTTTTGGAGCTTTTGTGTTGACAAACGATCTCCTTGACAGGTAATATAACTCCACGTATGTCGTCACTATTAACTTACAAATTGCAAAGCTGCAAGAACTAGCTCTATAGATCACTTCCGTAATTGCCAGAATCTCGCAATTATTGCTGGGGTTAATTACGAAGTACTTTTTATAAAAAAGTTCGTACGAACTTGGAACAATAGTTGCATTAGGTTGTATTGTTGGAAATTTAATAGGAGATTCAAAGCTTTGTCCATTAGCGGGTAGACCATTATCCAAACAATGATGAAAAGAGAACGAGACGGCAAGAGATCAGAGTTGGATTTACGTGGAAGCGGAAGTAATATAAACTGCTTTAAACTTTTCTAGAAATGGAAAATTCTTTATAAAATTATAGTTTTAAAAATTAATTTTTAATCGTATACAAAAACGCTTTTGTGCATAAACAAACATTTGTTTAAAGTGTGCATGATATAATATGTTGTAAGTTCTAGAAAAGAGAAGGACGAACGAACGAAGCGATTTTGCAATAAATGGACATCAGGAAAAGTCATAAAAAGAAAGATCAGAAAAAATAAGCCGCCAAATTATTACATATATTCTTCTTCTTTTTGTTATATGGACATTACTAGTTTATTTTTCAATGTGCCTCCAGTGAGTTGTCATTCCATCTTCTTCGTGGTCTTCCTATTGGGGAACTGTCTCTTGACATCTTTACTACTCTATTTGTTGTCATTAGGTTTCTATGATCGTTCTATTCCTATCCTCCTCCTAAGTGCCTTCTCTATTGAGGTTGGCGATCAATATGGAAAATGTCTCTCTGTTCTGGACTTGATGGATTAAGTCATTTCCTGTTGTGTGAGTCCAATCTCTGATGTTTCGGAGCCAGGATTTCTTCTTTCTTCCTATACCCCTTTTACCCTCGATTTTGCCTTCTAATATTACCTGAAGCTGCTCAAATTCCTTATGGCGCATTATGTGTCCTAGATATGACGTCTTTATAATTTTGATTGTATTAACCAGATGAGGTCGTGTGTTCATTATTTCCAGTACCTCTTCATTTGTAGTTTTGCTGGTCCAGCTTATTCTTAGCATTCGGCGGTACATCCACATTTCGAATGAATTCAGTTTGTTGACGTCATACTGTTTTAATGTCCAGGTCTCACAGCCATATAGTAGTAGAGACCACATATAAAACTTTAGTGTTCTTAACCTTCTGTTCTATTCTACTCTTCTATTTTTTACCCAGTCCTTGATGTTCTCCACCTTGCATCCATGTAATCTATCTTCACTTCTAGCTCTATTCCATAATAATTTGTCATTAATCATTTTAAGTGTTTTCATCTCTGCTATTTCTAACATCCTGTTCTGGTTACGGCCCCATTATTGGTCTGATAACTGTTTTGTAAATTCTGCCTTGTATTTTATTCTATTCACTTGATCTTCCACTTCTGTTTCAAGCGTTGTGTAGCTAGATAATATGATTTCTAGATATTTAAACTTTATCACTTGTTCTGTTATTTTTTCCTGCTCTAATATTCATCTTTACTGTTATAACCATGCATTTTGTCTTTTATGAGGAAATTAACATCTTAAATTTTCTAGCTTTCTCTTTCTAGCTTATATAAAATGGTGCAGAATACGTTGTAAATCATCCTCAGTTTGTGGGAGTAGTATTGCGTCGGCTGTATAGCGGATTATCTTAAGTTGTTTATCTTCCATTTCGCATTCTTTTTTAGTTCTAACTTTTTTATTATTTCATTCATAATCAGGCTGAACAATAAACGACTTGGGAAATCTCCCTGTCTTATGCTATTGCCAGCTTCAATAGGGTCAGTTAGTTCTTCTTCTACTTTCACTTTTATTGTGTTGTTTTGGTAGATATTTTCGATAGTTTTAATTATTCCTAAAGCTATCTCTCTTGCGTACAGTAAGTGGATTACGCCCTTTAATTTGACTTGGTTAACTGCGTTCTTAATGTCAAAAATTGCAAACATAATACAAAGATAAGCCGGTTTGTTGTATTCTAATGATTCCTCTTGCAATTTCCTCATTATAAACATAGCCTCATTATAAATATATACAATTCTTGATTTTAAAGAGCAAATAGGAGCAAATAGTTTTTCTTTTTTGGAATTTTATTTATGACCTGACTGAATATTATGTTGGGTTATTGCTGAAGTAGTATGGGAATATTTTCTAGATTCTAAAATGCTTGTCAATACGGTTGTGAATTTGCCGGCTTGCCTGTCTTATATATCTTTGTGGGCAACTGGAACAAGGTACCTCGTAGACACCATGGTCTTTTACGGATCTGACGAAATTGGACAACTTCGAGTAAGCAGATTGAGGTTCCGAACTTGAACAGAACAGAATATTTACCAAAATTCATATATATATATATATACACCTGGAAATCTCCAGCTGACTTGTCAAAAAAAAAAAAAAGATTAGACTACATCGTCATCAACAAACGATTTCAGAATTCCTTAAAATCCGCAAAGACATATCCGAGAGCAGATGTTCCATTAGACCATTATCTTTTACTAGGACATTTTAAGCTCCACATGAAAAAAGTCTATAATAGAAAAGCACAAAAATGTCCAAACATCCAGAAGTTAAAAGATAAAACCACAAGAGATAAAGTCAAAGAGGAGATCAACAACAAAATAAACAGCATGTTAATCTTAGATATTAATCAAGAAAACATAAGTGTGGATGATACGTGAAATAAAATCAAAAATATCTGTAATTCAGTAATAGAAAATAAACTTAAACCAGAAAACAATACTAAGAAATAGCCGTGGATGAGACAAGAAATATTAGAGCTAATGGAAGAACGAAGAAAACACAGAAATCAGAATAAGGAAAGGTACAAGAAACTTAACAAAATCATTAAGAAAACTAAGCTTTTAACCTACATAAAAAGATCCAAAACTTAACAGGACGAAACGGATCACAAACTCATAACTTAATACTACACGAGCACAACAATCTGCTCTACGAAAATGAGAGAATACTTGAGAGATGGAGGCAATACATGGAAGAATTATTCAAGGAAGAGCAAGTGTAATGTGAGCGTAGCAAGTGAGTGAGAAGTTGAAATAAAGGGATAAGTAGCATAGAATAGATAATAATTATTCGAGATAATTATTATATATTTCAAATCAAATAAGGGATAATTATTACAGTAAAATTTGCATTTTAAATCACACAAAGAAATTGACCTAGTTATTGCATTGTTTGTTAATTGTTTAAACATAGAAAAAGCACGTCAAACAGAAACTGTTATTGTAATGCAATATAGGACTCACAATTCAGCGAAAACACGACCTTGGCACTATAACCGGCATTGAAAATATGAGCTCGATAAAAACTAGAAAACTTGGTCAGCCAAGTCAGTAGTTAGTAATGGGCAGTCAGTGATAGCTGGGCACCTTGGCTGGACGCGAAAGCGTCCAGTACGCGATCAGTACGGGCAGTTAGTAATGAGTAGTCAGTATTAGTAATACGGCGGAAGCGGTCCGTAGTATCGGGGCAGCTGTGCCTGCCCAAGGCAGTAATTGCCTCCGGGAGCGTCCAGTACGCGAGGCAGTCGGTAATTCTCCGGGGGGCGCTTATCATCCGGCCTAGTATCGCGTGTAGTCCGGTTATTGTGGCAGCTCGTAAGTTCGCAACACAGGAGGAGACCCTCAACTGACCGAGTTTCAGAGGACCGAACGTGTCGTGGTTGAAAGCCCAAAATAAGGTAACAGATTTCTATATACTAACCTGAGTAATTATATTAGTACCACTGTCAACTTTTCACTATCTTGCTCCTCGTAAATTCAATATATTGTAGACTCTAAATTTGTTTTTTTAATGTTCCTTTCGTCCGACTCACTAGAGACTAGGAGAACACGAGATTCTGCGTCTGCATATCTCCGGCTTCAAAAGTAAGCCCATAAACTCTGCTCTTTACAGGACCTGAGACCTAGGAGTCCTTACCCCTATCCCGAAAATCCCTTATCTTCTCGTAAATCCACGAAGACGAGCCAGCCCTCCCGACCAGTGTGACCAGTATTCCTTGCAGCCGCTCGCAGGGTTAGCATCCCTTGAGGATCTATTGTGTATTACATTTGGTGACAGCGTTTTCCTTACCTTCACATAACGCTCCCATTTCTATTATTTTACACAAGAGATAGAAGTCAGTGTTTCTGGATGTTCAGGACCAGAAATAACGCTTAGTTAAGTAACATATGCAATAAAAAGACTAA